ACGAGCACTGGCTCATCGTCATGGGAGAGAGAGAGAGAGAGAGAGAGAGAGAGAGAGAGAGAGAGAGAGAATGAAGAAGACGAGAATCGCATTGTTAGCCTTGCTGCTAATTCTTGGCGTCGTAGAAACGAGATCATCATCGAACTACGTGGTTCGTGGATTCACAGATTATTTTTACGACACTTTGTATTCGAGCGATCCTTATTATAGTGATCCACCTGCAATGGCTCCATCTCCCAAATCGGATCCACCTTCAGATCCTCCCATCATAAACTCTCGTGATCACGGAGTTTTCGATGTCACAGACTATGGAGCGACACGAAATTCCGAAACAGAGAGCAGTTCGGTTAGTTCATCGTTCTTCGACAACGTAATTTACGACAGTTTTGAGAGACCGTACGTGTGCGGTTCAGACATGCATGCCCATGAATCGAGTTTCCATGCATTAATTTGTACGTCATCATGTGAATGTTAGTGTCGGATCTAGTGCATTATATACGATGGAACGTAAACATTTAATAAGGTGTTGAGAGATGAACGGGTAAAAAACGGTCCTCTAAATGAAAATACGTATGACATGGCATATCACATGGATACAATTCATTGATTTCGAATCCAAGGATGTAACACACCACACTTAATTAATTTTGCTTAAGGCATTTCTTGAGGCGTGGGATGAGGCCTGCAACCACGACGATAACGAGACGACGTTTTACGTACCTGAAGGCAGATTCCTGTTGGGTCCGATCACATTTAATGGACCTTGCCGTGCCAAATCGGCTATCAAGATAGAGTTGGTCGGAGATTTAGTAGCTCTGGCCGGTTTAGAGGAGTTTCCGACATCCGAGTGGATTGATTTCAGACAGCTAAACGGGATCATCATCTACGGTCAGACCACCATAGATGGCCAAGGCGAAGGAGAAGCCTGGAAACAGAAAAGCTGCAAGAAATCCGCCCAGTGCGACAGATTAATCACGGTTATATATATATATATATATGATTCCGATTAAATTAAATACTTTATTGTTAATCAAATGAAATGATTTATGGTGATTATATATATGTTTTTGGAATGCAGTCTTTGAAACTCAGCGATGTGTCGAATGCAGTCGTTAGAGACATTACTCTATCGAACGGGAAGGCATTCCACGTGACCATCCATGGAAGCCGAAACATTACTATCCACAATGTCCATATCACTTCTCCATGGGATAGTCCCAACACAGATGGAATACACATTAGCCACTCTTCTTTCGTCGATATTTCAAACTCCAGCATCGGTGTGGGAGACGACTGCGTCTCCGTCGGACCCGGGAGCTTCAACATATCGGTCTCCCACCTACATTGTGGTCCAGGCCACGGTATCAGGTTCGAACATATATAATATCATTCGATATAGATATTTTTCATGTTTTTTTATTATCTTTTATAAGGGCACAAATCTAATTACACCTAATTTTTATTCAACCAATCCTTCCACGTATTATATCTATTGCACATTACATGTATATCTTTACCATGGAGAGTGGTATCTTTCAGAATCGAACGTGAAAATATTCATAAAGCGATGGTGAATGAATGCTATTTCATGTACGATGGATGCATGCATGCAGCATAGGAAGCTTGGGGAGGTACAAGAACGAGGAAGACGTGAGAGGGATTAGGGTTGAGAACTGCACATTAAACGGCACGAGTAACGGCGTTAGGGTTAAGACATGGCCCACGTCTCCTCCAAGCCAAGCTCGTGACATGGTATTTCAGAACATTGCCATGAACAACGTCTCTAACCCCATCATAATTGATCAAGAATACTGCCCATCGCATAGCTGCAACATGAAATCTGTAAGTTCATATACGTGTGTATATATATTCATCTACGTACCCTTTTTTGTATTCTTGATTATCAATTTTCTAACATGCCCAATAAAATAATATGCAGCCGTCTATGGTGAAATTGAGCGATATAGCGTTCAAGAACATTAGCGGAACCTACAATACTGAGTTCGAGGTGACGATGTGGTGCAGCTCCGCAGTGCCGTGCGAGAATATCAGCCTCGCCAACGTTAATCTCTCCGGTTTAGTGCAGTGTAATAACCAGCAAGGCCGGTTTAGCTTAACCGGTGGTATTCGTGGTCTTGAGGTTCTTAGCTCAAGCTTTTGAGTTTTTATGGTCCGTCGTTGTAATGCGAATCAGTCTCCTATTAAAAATAACGAAAAGGAAAAAACAAAGGGTCCGATTCTGATATTAATTGGGCCTGTCATATCTCATTACTAACAAGGGGCCCATATTAAAGCCCATTAAGAATGATGTCTTAAACGCAGGGCCTTCTAGGCCCAAATAGTGGTTTCTCGGAAGTATCTGGAAGAGCCTAAAGGAAACAGAGACACGCCGACGAAGTCGAACATCTTCAGAGAAAAATCCCGTCGGCAATGGCGTTCATCATCGGGCGGCGCGCGCTAACGACAGTCCTTGGCAAAACCCTCTCTTCTTCTTCTTCGTCGTCGTCTTTGGCTTCTCTGTCTTCCCTCTCTTCTCGTTCTCGGGTCGCCGTTGGTCTACTGGACAAGGTGTCTTCGACCCAACTCGCGCCGGGTCCGTTTCACATCCCTAACCGACCGAAGACATCTGGGTCGGGATACTCTCCGTTGAACGATCCGTCGCCCAACTGGAGCAACCGTCCACCGAAGGAGACGATTCTTCTAGATGGGTGCGACTACGAGCACTGGCTCATCGTCATGGAGTTTCCTGATCCCAAACCCACCGAGGATGAGATGATCAATGCTTATGTCAAAACCCTAGCTTCCGTCATCGGCAGGTGGAGACTTTCGCATTCATTGTTCTCATAGTTTTGGTTTTTTTTTTTTTGTGCATTTGGATTGATGGGTTTGCGATTTTGGTTTATGGGTTTTAGCGAGGAGGAGGCTAAAAAGAAGATTTATTCAGTTTGCACGACGACGTATACTGGGTTTGGTGCTTTGATCTCGGAGGAGCTTTCTTACAAAGTCAAAGGTATGGTCTTTCAAATTGGGGATTAGGGTTTAAGGCTGCTTCGCTCTAAATTTAATAGAAAGTCTATGAATTATCATCTCGAAGTTGCGAAATTTTGCTTCTAATTCGATTCATTGATACCGATAGGTCTTAGGTGGGTTTAGGGTTTTTAGATCATGGTCTTGCCTTCTGCTGTGCTGATACATCAAAAATACAAAGTTCCCTGCGCTGGAATTGCGACGAGGAAAGCTTTATGAACTCTTGAGCTTGTCCTGTAGGGTCTGCTGAATCAAGAACGAACCTATGTTGTAAATAGAAATCTTGTCAGAAATCTGATGCAGTGGTGTGGTTGTGAACAGGGTTGCCTGGTGTCCTGTGGGTTCTACCAGATTCTTACCTTGACGTACCCAACAAGGACTATGGAGGTGTGTCTTCATTTCTTCCACATTGATGGATGGATGGATGGAATTTGAGTTTATGACTCGGGACTGAGACCATTTGAAATTTTGATTCAGGGGACTTGTACGTAGATGGGAAGGTGATACACAGGCCACAGTACAGGTTCACCGAGCAGAGACAGACCAGGAACCGTACCAGACCACGGTTCGATAGACGCCGGGGCTGATGACTGATCGGAAGCCGGCTAATCAGTTCGACTGACCAGTCAAGGAACATTAAAGGATGTGTCGGTGCTTGATCTGATCCTGTCTTAAATTCCCATATATTTTTTTTCATGTTAGTCAAATGCAAGACCAGATTTTTCTTGTTCTACCTATAAAAGGCATCGAGACGGGGGCTCTCTAGTCTAAGGATCGAGATTAGGTTCATTATTACTGGTTGATTATACAAAGCCGAATTAATCCGTAAAATTGAATGGATTTAATAGAATTTCGATGAAATAAAATTCTAATCGAAGTAAAAAAGAATATAAAAACGATTTAATTGTTTTAAAAAGAGTTTTTTGATTAAAAATTTATTTGCAGCTCGAATTCTACTAATCAAATTTAACTTATTATAGCATAAAAATAGAAAAAAAGTTTGATTCGAAAATAATGGATATGATTAGAAATGTTTTATCCTATTCCTTAATTGAAACCGAGGAAGTTATTATGGTTGCACATATTTGACAAGAATGCACATGCCTCGTACCATTTTATTTTAGCATTTCCATAGTAAACAAAGAATGCTACTTTATGAAAAAGTTAAATCTTAATCAAGGTTAAGAGCTGATTCTATCATAATAATACATCATTATCTTCTTTGACCCACCCTTTAATGTGAAAAAACCACTCTTACCCACAATTTTCTTCACCATAAACCTTAAAAATTGATACGTAATAATGTGTTTTTTTTCCTTGTGCCGCCGACCACATGAATGAATATATTGACCCAAATATTGTTAAATAAAAAATAAAGAGAAAAAAGCTCTAATTTTCATGGAAAGGCTACTGCTTTGTCCCACGGCAAACACTGCACAGGATTTCTGTGTTGGTTTTAGAACTCTGGTTCCTATGGGCTCGCCCCCAGGTTTCCGGTGGTATTTCTGTAAATGAACTTAACCAAAAGGGGCATACCTGTCTAAGCAACCCAGTTCTACTGTGACGCCATAACTGAGCGCCACGTGTCGCTCGTATGTCTCTCTTGTCCCCATCGATTTCCTTCTGCTCAATCACCGCTCACATCAAACCCACTTTATAACTTATAAGAGAGAACCAAACTCACAAGTTCACAACGACAAAGAGAGAAGAAAACCAAACAGGTGACTACACAACCCGGAGGAATGTGCGGCGGAGCAATATTTTCCGATCTGCTGGCGGCAGAGAAGTGGAAGAATACGGCGGAGCTCCGGTCATCCAAAGGTCTCACATTTCGATTTCTTTCCTTTTTCTCTACACTATCCAGGCTTCCTTATGACATCAGTTTCTGACCCTATTCTTTTTTCGTTTGCTCTTGTCAAAAGTGGAAGAGGGACTGCAAAGAAAGGGCAAAAAGAGAGGGAGAGAGAGGAAGAACATGTACCGGGGAATTCGACAGCGTCCGTGGGGGAAATGGGCGGCTGAGATTCGCGACCCGTTCAAGGGAGTTCGAGTGTGGCTTGGGACTTACGAAACGGCTGAGGAGGCGGCAAGAGCCTACGATAAGGCGGCCAGGCAAATCCGTGGCGACAAGGCCAAGCTCAACTTCCCAAAGCCTGAGCCTGAGCCCGAGCCCGAGCACGGGCCACAGGCTAAGAGGCTCTGTGGCTTTGTGGTGGGAGCAGCTCCGGTACAGCAGCAGCCAATGTATGCGGATGGAGAAGAAGCTTGTGACCCAAGTAATGGTTTAGGGTTAGGGGTTGAGGCCGGAGAGGATATGAGCAGCTGCAGCTGTTCTCCCGATTTCTGGATGTTTGATGATCTGTTCATAGAAACACTCTGAATTATTAGTAAGAGTGTGGCGGGGTGCTGTTACTAGCTTTATGTGTATGCTTCTACTATTGGCTAATCTCTACTCTAGCTTGCATTGTCTGAACAAGTTCTGTTATAATACCTATCTTCGTTTAGCTCCATTTTGTCCACAAACATTGTTTGCATGAACATTGTGCTAAACATGCGAGAGAGTAAAAGAAGTACAAATGAAACCAAATGAGGAGTTCTTGAAGTCAAGGGCCAAGAGTATATGTTTCTAAGGGATCAAACACTTTAATTTACCACTACTGAATCATATGTAAGGATCCTACAAAATCGATAAGAGGAAGGAACCACTTTTCTACATTTACCTTGCCTCTAATCTGAAACATCAAGTTATCAACTCATGAGTGAACACAAAGACGTAAAATTTGGAGATTCATCCACAGACTGAGATCAAGCCTCAGAGGCAAATTTAAAGCACTGTAAACTAGACATACAACTGGTGCATAAGGCAATCGAACCCATCAAAGTGTGATAAAACAGCAAAACTACGTACCCTTCTGGAGATTGCAACTCCAGAGCAACCGGGGTGAATCATCAGAACGACATTGAACCAGAGATTGAAGACCCTCTTTATTCGACACCGCAGCTTCAAGGTTTGTGACAAACATCCTGCAGAGTATAAAGAGAGGAGGAAAAAAACATCCCAAAAAAGGATATGTCTGGCTAATACAAGATCTAAGTTCAGAGATGTCCTGAGAAATGAGAAGCTATGAACATTCCTCCCTCCAAAGTCCAACCATATAAGAAATGGTCAACACCAGACAAGTAGACAGACAGGTAGACATAAACCTCAAGGTTGGCAACAAAGACGAAAGTTTGACAATTTATCAGATGCCAAAGAACTCTAAGCTTCTACAACATATAACAACATGAAGAACACATGTCAGGAGAATTCAACCAAATACAATCATTCTTGTTCCGACCTATAAGAATTGACAACGTTGCCGGAAGAACATAATTAACTAAGAACAAATATCATTTAAATCTAAGGCTGAGTTGCAGATATAACGAAGGATATGTACAAATATATATACAGACATCGTTACCATGATTCCATGCCTTGCACAGAATTAAGAATTGCCAATTGATACCACCCTAATCGAAACCACCCACGGAACCATTAACAAACCGGAGTCAATCTCATGGTTAATTTCTCTCTCTCGCCATCGGTGAGAATCCTCACAATCCTCTTGAACGCGAAATGCACGCAGTTCGACAAGGCGATCCAGCATAACACCTCGTACACGAACTCCATCGCCGGATCCGACCACGACGGAAGCGAAGATGATTCGTCCCAGTCTCCCCTCCCAAATCCGCCAAAGTTCCACCCTCTACCTCCGTCGTTCCCGCCGCCGCCGCCGAAGCCGTAGGGACCGTTGAAACCGCCGTTATCACCGTCTAAGAGAAAACGAGCGAGATCACCTCCGTCCTCCGAATCTCCACTAAACGAAATCCGCCTCGTACGGCGCTTTTTCCGGTGAAGCGTCCGGCGAATCGTCTTGTAAGCGCTGGATCTCACCAGCTTAGAGGCGATCACGTCGACCGGGAAAATAACCGCCGATACTTGGAATCCTCCACCCGGGGATGGATCTCCGGAAGAATCCGCGAATGAAACATGATGACCAGACGCCAAATCTCCCCGTCTGAGAAGAAGCTTCCCGAACCCCACGCTTTGATTCGCAGCTGCAACGGAAACGCTATCGGCAACGAGAGAGAAGTCCATGATCGCGACAAATCTCCAATACAAATCACCTTCGATTTGTGAAAGATCCGAGCAGAGAGAAGAATCCGAAGACGCTCGGATTAGGGATTTTTTTCTTTTGGTTTCCTATCGTTTTCCGGGAAAATACAGGAAAAAAGGAAAACAAATCTGGAAGCGGATTCCGATCCGTGGGACCGGATGAATCGGACACGCAACTGGTTTGCGTGTTGGATGTCTTGCTCCCCCTCGCACGTGTGTCCTTATCGTCATATAGTTATGGTCCCTTAATGGGCTTTTTTTTGTGTTTGAATATATATTGGACAGTAGTTATGGGCCAATTTGTTCAGCCCGGCCCAACCGTTAATCGTGAAAAACACCAGTGGCAAAATCGTAAATGTACAGGGAGTAAGTACCGTCGTGTCGTGTCGTGTCGTGATACCAAATCCGAACAAGGGACAGTAAAATCGTTTCCGGTTCACGGAACCCCCGGCTGCCAAACACCTCTCTCTCTCTATTCGCCACATCCATCATTTTTTTTTCTTCTCCATTTTCGCTTATTTTGTTTTAACTTTTAATTAATCAAGTTTCTGCCTCTAAATTCTATATAAAACCCAATAATTTCCTTCCCCGCACCCCCATCATTCCTTTTCTTTTTTCTTGGTCATAACAATATCAAAATCCCAATCGTCTTCCCAAATCGCTAAAACCCTAGAGACCCTTTCGGAGTTCGAAACTCTGGTGAAAACAGAAGAATACCCGGTGAGAGTAGTAATATCCTTGGTTTTGGGTTGAAAGAAATTTGCGATATTTGTTTTGTTTTTTTTTCTGGGTTTGGTTCGCTTTTGCTGCTTCCTCTGGGTTCTTGTGCGATCGATTATTCCATATCGCGCAATGTCGGGTTCGGGAGGAGTTTCCATCGCGCGCACGGCGATCCGCGGAGAGAATCGCTTCTACAACCCGCCGCCAATGCGGCGGATGCAGCAGGAAGCACAATTGCAGCAGATAAGGGAGAAGGAGAAGCAGAGACGCGAAGAGGAGGAGGTGGAGAAGGAGCGGCGAACGGCGGTTGATAGGAAGGGGTTTGGTCTGCCGGAAAGAAAGACCAAGGTTGTCTCCGTGTCGGAGGAAAGCGGGTCGTCGGAGTCTTCCGGGTCGGACCGGGTTGCAAACTCCAACTTGGATCGGTTCTTGGAGCACACCACCCCTGTGGTTATGGCTCGGTGTTTCCCCAAGGTAGAGTCCTTACCTGTTTGGTTGCCGAGTTTTGATGCCGACATCATTTTGTAGTGTTGATCTGAACGCAGAGTTGTCTAAACTTTTCTGCATTGTTCATCCGAGGAATTTGGTGGGCCTTTGTTGGTTTGTGGAATTGATCTGGAAACTATGAGCTCATGTTGAGATTCGGTCTAGTTCTTGTGTAAGACTGTGGATTTGTTTCGGGATGTTATATGTTTTTCTTAAACCTATAATTCGTTTCTCAGAGGAGCTCGAGGGAACCAAGGAATCGTGAGTCAGAGTGTCAACCCTTTTTTGTTCTTGAGGATTTCTGGGAGTCATTTGCCGAGTGGAGTGTTTATGGTGCTGGCGTTCCTCTGTTACTGAGTGAGAGCGATTCCGTCGTGCAATATTATGTCCCGTACTTGTCCGGCCTTCAGCTGTACATAGACCCGACCAAATCCGGCCAAAGATTGAGGTTAACTTGATCATCGTTTTATGAAAGATGTTGTTCCTGATGTAATTCGAGAATAGAGCATTGTGTTTTCATGTTCCTTCCTTGCCTTTCATTTCAAACAGGAGGCCGGTTGAAGATTTTGATGTTGAGTCGTTGAAGGAGACAATGAGTAGTGATGGAAGCAGCAACGTTAGGCTAGAGAAAGTACCTAACAATGCTAAGGCTCAACAGAAGGCGGTGGACTCAAATGTCAGCAATTTGAATAGAATGTGCCTCGGAGAACAATCCCTTGTCAGTTCTGCAGTAGATGGAAATGAGATCAGTAACTCCCCAGGACAACTAATGTACGAGTATTTTGAGCACGAACCTCCGTTTGCCCGTGAACCTCTGGCTAACAAAGTAAAAGTTCCCCCTTTTGAGTCGAGAGACATTTCTATCATTAGCTCTTCTACTCCTACTGTTCTGTTCAGTGTTTTACTTATAAGTTTCCATGCAACAGGTGTCAGTCCTCGCTTCAAGATTCCCGGAGTTAATGACCTACTGCAGCTGTGATCTCTCCCCTTCAAGTTGGGTGTCGGTGGCATGGTATGCCTTGTTCGAATCTTCTGTGTCTGTTGGCCGTTGAATGTCTGAAATATGATGGAATGTTTCTTCCTGTCTGATTCTTGATGAAGGTACCCGATATACAGAATACCCATAGGTCCAACGCTACAGAATCTCGACGCCTGCTTTCTGACCTTCCACTCTCTTTCAACCCCTCCTCAAAGTAAGTAACCCCCGCCTTAATTGATGTTAATGTGTAGAGAATATGATCTCTCTTACACATTATACAATGTGTCGTGTTTTTGTGGCAGGTAGAAGCAGTGTGAGGGATTTTAACCATCCGGGTCCATCCATAAAACTACCGTTACCTACTTTCGGGCTTGCATCCTATAAGCTCAAAGTCTCCATCTGGAATCCACCGGACAGAACCCAAGAATGCCAGAAGTTGAACTCGCTGCTACAAGCAGCCGAGAACTGGCTCAAGCGTCTTCGAGTCCATCACCCTGATTACAGATTCTTCATTTCCCACAGCCACAGATGATGATGATGATGATGATGAAAGCCTTTTGAAAGGAGCCAACTTTGAGCACTTTTGGGCAATGGCTTCTTATCATTACAAATATCTCTGCTGTACTTATTTCATCATACACGAGAGACATCACAGCACTAAAGAACCGCCCGTTGCTGGTTAGCTTTCGCATATCGTTTTGTTTTTCAGGCGCTCAGGTGACTTTTCTGCAGACTCATCTAATTATAAGATGATGTGTCCATTGCAACATATAACTGGCTTGGCGAGTTTTTATAGCCTCTTGTTCTCTTTTGACTTCAGTATCTAGTTCTTCTTTTGTTTGGGAATAAGAACCGAATCTCACGTTCTGTGTGGATACGTAACATTCCACGACACAGCTTATTTGAAGAACTGAACCGGTTGCATGTGTTTTTGTAAGAAGAGTGTCTTATTAATGGTGGAATTATTCAAGTTTTACTCACTTTTTGAACCATATAGATATAGAGTATGGCAAAAGCCCTGAATGAAAGTTCCATTTTCCTAAATCATAAAGCAGATACAAATTCCCAAGTACAGTGATGATAATATAATATATGGGGTAACTCCTCCTAAACTACAAGGTTTGATCTGCAATCTGCATTCGCCTAGACCCTCTGCCGTGGTCTCCCACCTCGGTTTACTTTCACAAGCAACTCCTCTGCCATGAGAAAAGGCTTTAGCGAGATTAGACGTCTTCTTCAAACATGGTTGAGATCAGCAGGCCTCGGACAAACTCGCTCTTTCTTGCCTTCTCTTGGTCCCCGATGTCTCTGAAGGTAGAGACATCAAGTGAGTATCTAAGACTGTGTCCGAGCGAAATGGTCCTTGAATGTGTTTAAGGAATGAATATGCACACACACCTTTCATGGGTTTGCTTATGTGAATCGGCTTTTGTTGCTGGGGCCCCTTCAGTCATGGATGCAGTAGCAGACCGGCTTCCCGACTCGTTTGCTGGAGAAGCGTTGAACATAAAAGATGAAAGCAGCGGATCAGAATCTATGTTTGTCGAAGGACCGAAATTGGACGATCCACCTAGGAGAGACTGCGCCTCCCGCAATTCCTTCTTCAGCGTAAGATAAGCAGAGCTATATCCACCTCTACGCAACCTCCTCCTTCGCTGCACGTGAATCTCTTATCAAGGAAATAGCAAATCGGCCAAAAGAAAAACATCCAGCAACGAGGGTAGCCGAACTAAATCATTTGAGAAGTTAGGCATCATGTGATGAAATCAAACACAAGATAACAAAAAGTTCAAAGGATATCTTAAAGATGTTGCCGTGTTGTGTTGTGATATGGCCAACAATATCCAATCCCACCCTCTTTGTGCAGACAGGACATACCTGAAAAAGCAAAGTTGAGACATTATTTCACACCCAGCTTTAAGCACTCACTGTTTTGGGCATATTGCGTCAGAATGGAACAATGCCAACCAGGAAAGTGATCAAGAAAACACAGTGCTAAGAAGAAAGACAAGCTCATGATACTATAAAGAAGAACAAAAGGCATAAGCTTTACCCTACCAGGCAAACACTGAAGGGACCAAGCCCTCCAATCATTAAGGGTAAGCTGCTAAAACTAAAATACTTCAACACCGACACAGAACGACAGATTCAGAAGCTTTCCGGAGATGGAATCAAAAGCTGTTGTCCACATTTGACAAGGAGAATCGATATGAGATATTATACAATCACAAGATAAGGAAGCATCCTTATTCTTCCCAATCAACTTCGAGTTTCCAAAGGAAACCAAAGTGTAGCCATATAAAAAGAACAAAACAGACAATCTAGGGAAACTATGGAGGAAACAAATCCTCTGGGATATTTCTAAATCGTATAAACACGTGAAGATGATGATCGTTACCCCGTTCTTGGCCTCGACGGGATGCTCCTCATCGATATGGCAGCAAAGCCCAACGATGTCAAAATCCTCTGCGCAAAAGGGGCAGATAAATTCCGTCTTCAGATCGTCATCCCCTTCGAAATCCTCGTACCCTCCTCCCAGATACAAATCTGCCCACAATTCCACGGATTAGATCACAACAACATGAAACCTAAATTGCACAATCTAGCCCACGAATTCTCTCGCGAAACAAGCCCGATCAACGACGATAACCTGATCGGGATTGATACCGCCGCGAAGAAGAAGAGGACGAGGAGAAAACAGAGGGACAATTGATCCATGAATTGGAGTCCATTTCTCTCCGATTAAGAAAAAAAATCACAGAAATTAGAATGAAATTAATCGAAATACGGAAGATTCCACAATTCTGATGAACGAGACGCTAGAATGATGGCAGCGATGGATGGCGCAAAAAGGCAAACCAGGAGAGAGAAATGGAGAAGAGAACTGAGACTTGTCACCCAACTTCTGGTTCGGAGGACTCGAGATTCAATATGAAAAAAGAGCCAACACTATTTACTATTATACCCTTTTAGTTTATATAATTTACACAATTGTCCCCGAGAAAATCACCGATTGGACCGAACCGAACAAGTGGTTTTTGGTTGTCCATGTCTCGTACGTGTCGTACGCTCGTTGGCTTCGTGGCTCTCTTTTAAATCTAAATAGCAAAAAGGGAAAGAAAAAATATATTTTTAGGAGAAGGAAAAAAGATGTTTCCAAGTTTCGAAAAATTCGAATAATACTAACAATTTCAATTAATGGAATGGAAAAATACTTGGAAAGTCATGACGCTCCAGGATAATACGCTTAGTTAGTATCACGGAACAATAATGAATTGTTTTCACCAACTATTGCTTGAAACATAGAAATGATCGATCGATCGTTTTTTATATCAGAAAGTTAAAACATGTTTTCCAATTCATTTTGTACCTAGTTTGATCTCTCTGCATATATAACATTGGTGTGATCACTTGTACTGAGCTAATAGTACTGAGATAATAGTGACTATTGACGGAAATTTCTGTAGTCGAAAGATATGGAACTACGTCTATTGCTTGAAACATAGAAATGATCGATCGATCGTTTTTTATATCAGAAAGTTAAAACATGTTTTCCAATTCATTTTGTACCTAGTTTGATCTCTCTGCATATATAACATTGGTGTGATCACTTGTACTGAGCTAATAGTACTGAGATAATAGTGACTATTGACGGAAATTTCTGTAGTCGAAAGATATGGAACTACGTCTGCCATTGTTATCAAGAACTTGCAGAAATCTACGGAAAATAACCGACCATACGGTGAAACACCGAGAAATTCTAAAATCAATCGAAATGAAATAGGTCGATGTGTTCTGATACCATATCGCGAGTCGTCAGAAAGAGT